GGACTGAAGGCATGCACCTCATGTTCCGTTCTAAGATGGAAATTCTTAAGGACTGAGACCCAGTCTTAAGTTCCTTAGAATCACTTACACAAGCACTTACAGAAAGCCCATCGCCATGGAACTACAATAGCATCTTCGGCTTTCCTCTTTGAGGCTTAAGGAGGTTTGCAGATGTTTCTCCTGGTGCTAGGGTCTCCTGCTTCCCTGGATGGACCCTTGTCCTCCCATCAGGAAAAGATGATCAGGGAAACCCTTGACATCCCTGTCTCCTGTCTGTGCCGATCATGTGAGTAGGGGATAAACCTTTTATGCTAATGTCTTCATAGACACTCATAAAAGGCATTTGTTCCTGAACTTAACCAAAATCTTGGGACAAAGGAACAGATCCGTACTGTTGACACACAGCACAAATGGCTTAGGCTGCCATCCTACACAGAATCTGTTAGCAGCTTTTCCCTTTCGTTGGCTTTACTTTTTTATTTACTTATCTCCTCCATCTCCTCCCCTTTCTGTTCCTCTTCCTAACACATTCTAGATAGTTTATTATACAGCCCCAGGTGTACACAAATAAACAATCTAAGCATCTCCGAATCCAGCCTTTCACCAAGGATGAGCCTGGTCTGTGCTGTCTTGAGAGCAAACCTGCAATCCCGAGGCTTCCTGAGAACTGTGATTTTGCGCTCCATGGGGAGGCTGTGGGTCCTGCTGCCTTTGCAGTGCTGGGTCTGGGCTGTGAGCATTGTGTTTTTTAGCGGTGCCAAGTGGAACAGCTCTGTCAGGGTGGTGGAGGAAGAGGAAGCCGGTGGGGCGCACACCTCTCTCGTGGGGGATAAGGTGATAAGCTCCCTTGCCAAAGGAGGTTACCCAGTTTCAGCCTTCGTGGAAGGGCTCAGGTTGTTTTGTTGATAACCACCCACATCCAGTCTCTCTCCCTCTCCTCGTCCCTCGCTAATGCCGTGCTGTTTGGAAATGTGTTGCGGATAGACTATCAATACGCTTGTCATTATTTCTGTCTTTCACTACCACATACATGTCTGTGATACCTGCCATCCCAATAGCTGGCGGTTCTATAACAGCGTCCAGTATTCATTGAGCCACACTGCTCCTGTCAGCTTCCAGAGACCGACCCCTCTGCCTACCCCGGAAGCTGTTATTTACCCTACCCAACCACGCGAGGGCTGGAAACAGTGTTTCCAGTGTGCCTTGCAAAAATGCCTATCAGATATGAATACCTATCAGACATGCCTGGTAGGGCCCATGATGCTGTTTGCTTTTAAAATGATGATGGGTGACACAGTTAAAAGAATTGTTTTATTCAGGTTGAGGTCTACCTTTTTAATAAACAAACTCTTCCCTGATATTCTACCATTAGTAAATAGCTTCAGTTGCATAAACCATGAGAACAGAACCCTTCAGCCTGCTAGGATCCTCACAGACCCTCATCCACTTTGTTAGCCCACAGTATACATTGAATCTAGGTCTCAGCTGTCCCCCGGCTCAGATACATGCTTCTTCCTATTGAAATTGGTATTAAAATACCATCCTTCAACCACACAATCCATGGCCGTCTTCTTGCCACCAGTGCATTGTTAACACCCTGGTAGAGAGCTAATCATCTCCAGCAGCTAAGGCACACAGAGAGTGAATTAATATTGACTGAATTCAAGAGAAGAGTTCTTGTCAATCGAGAAAGACAATGTAGGAGAGGCTTTCTTAGGTTGTTCCTGCAGAAGGTTCTAGAGATGACATTGAGCAGGTTGTCTGCATAGCCTTGTCCTTCCTGGGCATAGTGTCCCGGGGAAATCTGCTGAAGCAAGATCGGAGCTCTTAGGAAATGAAAGGTTAGCAGTAAGCAGTTGCTACAGAGGGGGAGAAAAGATGACCCAAACCCACAACCCTAAACCCCAAACCTTGTGGGTCCAGGTAAGCCCCACAGGGCCAGCCCAATGATTAGGTGTTATTACTATCTAATGTTAACAGTTCGTGGTGGTACTATCCTTAACAGTCAAGACAAAGCCAGCCCAGACTGGGGTTCAGTGCATCAGGTGGAGGGAGGCTGTTTAACGGGGAGAATGGATGAAGTTCCGTATGTGACGAGGAGGATGGATCCAGCAGCAGCGTTCTTTATGTAAAACAGGCAAGAACTGATGTTTGTGGTTTGGGTTTGTTCCTGTGTCCCAGGCATAGGCCTCTGTCTAGACAAGGAGAGTGGTGGGTTCATCCTCTGTCTAGACAAACCAGAAATGTTCACTCAGAGGCAAAGGCACAATTCTTGTGTGATTCTGTTTTTAAATCACAAACTTTTTTCCTCACAAAAATAAACAGTTAGGTCCCCAGAGCCACACAGTTTCAGTAGGGGCAGTTTGGCGGGGGCTCTTTCCCCAAGAAGCTTATCCTTTGTGTATATTTCTGTGATGTCATCTTTCTGTCATTTTGTGGTTTTGACATGCCCTCTCACTCTGGCCCTGGCTGGCCCGGTGCTCGCAGTGGGCTGGGTCCTGTTAGACCAATCAGTAGTCAGGACAGTCCCTCATAGTTCTGCCCACAGACCCACCTGATCTAGGCAATCAGTCCAGGCTTCTCCTTGTCAGGTGACTCTAGACTGCATCAATTGGAAATTAAGGCTAACCATGACAGTAGTGCAGGCTGGTGTTAAAGTCACAGTGATCCTCCTGCCTCAGTTTCTCAAGTTCTGGGATTATAGACAAGCACCACCACTTCTGGCTGTGAAACTCTCCTTTAGTTGTTCCTGGGTTCTTAATAAAAATGAATCATTAAATTGTTTACATTGAATTTCCAATTCTCTAGTTGTACATTCTGTTTGGTTGGCAAGATATTTTTGTGGATTCCTCCATTAATGGGATTTATAGTAGAAACTTGGTAAATAATTCATTTTGTTTTTGCTCTTGCTTTAAAAAAAAACGGGAACCCAGCAGAGCAGACATGGCGCACAGGATATTTCATTTTGAAATTTTAGCAGTTTGAATGTAATTCACAGAGAAGGAGTTAAAAAGAAATCTTGTAATTGTTGATCACAGTTAGCTCAAATAGCCCTCCCTAAAAGATAATTAGCCCTTGGAGTGGGTCCAAATGGCTTTTTTGTTGCTTGTATTTGCAAAACATTTTTCCGCTGCTATGTCCGTATCTTGGAAAACGCTTAAAGAGTTTGCTAACTGCATGATCAGAATCCATACAAACTGGAAATCAGTGGCTTCTCATCTGTGATTTACTCTGTTCCCATTAAGATTATAACTTAAAAAAATGAATCTTAGTTTCTTTTAGTTGGTACAACATTGCAGTTCTAGAAAACAAGCAAGGGAAGGGAACTTGCAGGGTAAAGCAAACATATGGACTTCAAATAAGAAACCCTACACAGAGTTAGCAAATAGCCTGTGGGCCAAATGGAGCTGGAAATAAGATATTTGAGCAGCTCTATCACCTCCCCTCCATTTAAGATTTCCATCATGAAAGATATCCGACACACACCAAAGGAGAGAAGGTGGTATGTGAACACCCACACAGTTGTCAGTTTGGGCACTCCTCAACCATCTGGTCCGTTTTCCTCGCTTCCCTTCTGTGCCTGGTCAGTTATATTGAAGCAAATCTGAAATTGTGACTTGGCCTTCCTTGTTGTTTGGAGTTTAAAGCCTGGCTCTTAGGGCCTAGAGAATGATAATTCTGGGTGTGTTTGTTTGTTTGTTTGTTTAATAAGGCATTTGTGTGGGTGCATGCATGCGTATGCTTGTGCATGTGTGTATATGTGTGCACGTGTGTGTGTGTGTGTGTGTGTGTGTGTGTGTGTGTGTGCCTGTGGGTATAGGAATAAATGTGTTTGGAGGCCACAGGTCACCTTCTACCTCAGAAACATTGTCCACCTCCATTGAGATGGGTCTCTCACTGGCCTAGAACTCACTAGGTAGGTTTTGCTAGCTGCCCACAGAACTCTGGGGATTGTCCTGTTTCCATCTGGCCAGCATTGGTGTTACAGGAACTTGTCACCATGCCTGGCTTTTTAAAGTGAGTTCTGGGGATCCAGTTTGGGTCGTCGTGCTTGTGTGCCAAGGACTCCCTGCTGAGCTCTTTCAAGGGACACACAGACACAACCCTAAACCCCCTTTATAAACCGTCCACAGGGATGCTTAGAGAGGCCTGTCAGGTGTTGACTAGAACAAAAATCAAATTCTCTGCTCAGCCATCCACTTACTCAGGCAAACATTTTAATGGAGACTGGATGGTCAGATCCTCTCAGCATGTGACTGTTTGTAGCTAGAAGCCCTGTGTCTGTTGCTAACCTAGTGCAAAGGTTTGGCTGGATCCCTTCTGTGCTGAGAGCCCTGAAGTTTTCAAGGACCCTGGATGCTGCTTAATGACTGTGCAGGCTCCGTGAATTTGGGTGAACTTACTTTCCTCTAACCCCAGAGAAGACGTTCCAGAAGGATGCTATCTTCTACACCTTAGAGCCTTGTCCTAGGCAGGAGGTGGGGATAAGAACGCACCCATTGTCTTCCTGCCCCCACGTCCCCTACCCTACCAACTGTGAATAAGAGATTTAATCACCCTAACACAAATTCTTTACTTTCTGAAACAGTTTAATCTGGATCACTCTGCTATCAAGATGTATTGTAAGATTCTGGACAATAACTAGATGAGACGTTCCAAGAGGCAGGGTTTCCCACAAAGCAAGAGTGTGTTTGCTGTTTGCCTTCATCAGGGTTTCCTTCGTTGCATTTACCCCACGTTTTGTGTATTTACTTGTGTGAAAAATTTAAATATCTTTCATGGGAACTTTGTCTTGTTTGCTTTCTGTTGAAGTCAGCACCCAACATGGTGGCTAGAAACTGTGAGGTAAATTCCCAGGTGATTAATTTAGCAGACAGTTTGGTGTGCTTCTCTGTCTTCCTCTAGCACAACAACAGACCAGAATGCTCTCTCCTAGAACTGTGGTAAGCAAGTATTTGCAAGATGTGGGACGTTCTATTTCACAACTGTTTTCTTCATAGGTTCCTTACCTATTCCTACCTCCTGGCCTTCAATGTGTGGCTTCTGCTGGCACCCATCACCCTGTGCTACGACTGGCAAGTGGGCAGTATCCCTCTGGTGGAGACCATATGGGATGTGAGGAACCTTGCTACCATCCTGCTGGCAGTGGTGATGGCCTTACTGAGCCTGCACTGCATGGCAGCCTTCAAGGTAATCTCTAAGAGCAAATGGATTCTCATGTTGAAAACAGATCATCCCAGTCACTGCCACTCCTTTCTGCAGTGGGGGTCTGGGTCAAAATCCCATGCTACTTTCTCACAGAGCTCTGCAAATTAAGTTCTCCTAATAGGTAATACATATTTAAAAGTCTTTAGCAGGGTTAATAGACCATGCCTATCTTGATTTTATCATATCTTTATTTAAAGGATTTATTTTTATTTATGTGTACATGTATGTGTCTCTATGTGTGTACAGCACGTGTGTATAGATGCTTGTGGTGGCCAGAAGGTGTCAGATCCCTGGAGCTGGAGTGCAGGCAGTTGTGAGCTAGCTGACAGGGTGCTGGAGACCAAACTCCACTCTTCTTACAGAATAACGGTTTTTCTTAGCCACTGAGCCATATTTCCAGCTCTGTATAATTTCTTTGATTACATCTAGATACTTTGTAAAAATAAAAATTTCCTCCTGGTATGGTTGGCTAATATTTGAAGGAATTTATTTGATATAATGTCATAATAAATGAAACCTTAATAAATATTATACTTACAAATGTTTAAGGTATGATTGAGATCCCATATCCACTTAATTATATTAAATTTGATGGTTTCTTCTGCAGTCAGAAAAAAATACAAAACTGAACAAAATTATTGAGTTCAATCATTTAAAAGATGATCAAAGGTAGAAGGAACTAGAAAATACTGATGGATGGGAAATTGTCACTACACTGATGGAATACTTCTCACCCTCCCAGACTTGGTGGTAAAAACTCCCACGTCTCCTGGCTGGGAGTGGCTGACTGTGAAGAGCAGCAGCTGGAATTTTTGTTTGTTCAGTGTTTTGAGACCAAGAATCGCTCAGCTCAGGCTGACCTTGAATTCCATTTGCGTCTTCAGGTGACCTTGAGCTCTTGATCCCCACACACACACCTCCGCATTCCTAAATCATGGGATTACAGGCAAGTGTTGTCCTGCCTGGCCGGCAGTTAGGATTTAAGGAGGAGATTGAGGAAGCTGCAGATTGCTGCTCCAAAAGCCTCTCCAAGTCTTCCAGTGACAGCTAGGCCATTATATGCCGATGGAAACTGTGGAACATGAGGCTTGTTTGGGGCAAGTCTGAATGAATTCTTTCCACGCACGCAGGTTCAGCAGCAGAGGGCAGACGTTCACTAGTGGGAGTTATCTCTCTATAATTTTAGTTCAAATCATTGGCTGTCACAAAACCAGCCAGGCACAGCAGAGATACCCAGAGATCCACACAGAAACCAAAACCAAAACAAAGAAACAATTTTAAAATTCTGACCAAAACTCTCAGTATTCTCAAAAAATAAAGAACTGGGAGATGACTCAGCTGTCACAGTGCCTTCGGTGAAGAAGTCCGGGGCTTGGATTCCAGGGTGGATGTGGCATGCGCCTGTTGTATTGGCACCAGGGAAGTGGAGACAGGAGGATCCCTGGGTTTGCTGGCCAGACATTCCAGCCAGTTAGCCAGTGACATATGCTCCTCTCTCTTCAGCATATTGTGGATTCACGGAGCAGCTTCATTGTTAACTTCCTGTAAAGACTGTCCCTCCCACCCCCTGCACTGGCTGCCCTGTCTATGTTCCCAGCAGGGGTTCTGTAGAGCTGATTCTGTCTCCTGCTTCAGTGTTGTGTCTCTCTCATTCTTCTCTCCTCCCTCCTCCCCTCCTCCTTACTTCTGCTCTCCCTCCTCCTCTTTTCTTCTCTCCCCATCTTCCCTTACCTCTTCTCCCTTCTCCTCTGTACTTGTAGACATTCAAGCTTCTGTGAGTGGAGAGCAGTCTAGAATTTTTTCATCATTGGCTCAAGTTCTTTCTAACAACAAAATTTAAAGTAAAATCATTTTCTTAATAATAAAATTTAAAGTTATTATTTTGCTCTAACACGGTGAGTTAGTCTTGCTGAGGGTATGTCTGTACAGCAGACAGGAAGACTAGGCCATCCATGAAGGAATTTACCCCAGGAGACTTGTGGGATAAACATGCCCTGGGCTTGTCTTTCTGGCTTGTACAAACTTTACAATCTTAGAAAGCACCCCGTGTTTAGGGGGCTTCTTCCCACTGGGTCTCCTCTTAATAACTTCCTTCCTATGACCTCTGAAATAGCTCCGTGAGTGGCGGGGAATGCTGCCCAGTGGTTTTCAGGAGGAATGTGTTTAATCTGGGCTCTTTCTGTCACAGCACGCCTTGAGGTTTTAAGGACTGCTAATGACTTCTGTAGCCTTGCAGAATCCCTATAGAAGGAAAAGTGGGTAAAAGAGGACCAGGAAAGGCGGTCACCTGACCTGGCTGATGGCCCACAGTGACAAAGATCGGTGGTGAAGTAGAGGTCCCAACCGTCTGCCCCTCCTCTGAGCATGGGCCTCGGAGGGTTTTATTTTTCTTTTCTGGAAGAGGTCAGAGGTTTGTACCTGTCCGTGTTTCCACCCCAGTCTGCAGATGGTTTCCTCTAGATCAGGACAAATCACAGACTGCAGCTCTGAGACCTGGGAAGCAAGCCTCGCCCTCGGGCTCCTAGGGAGGGGACGGCATAGCTGCAGCAGTGCCGCAGTGGGGGCTTGAGGGGACCTCCTGTGGGAAGGAAGCCCTGCACCCCTCCCCTGAAGAGGCGACTGCCTTCATTCCTGGGACTTCCTTTAGTGTTAGTTCTCAGTCTTGCTTTGCTTCTCGTTAGCTCACATCACAATCCTCATCTCTCTGCTCCTCAAAGAGTAGGCACCAGGGGCGCGGAGAGTACCCCCTCACGCCTCTAAGTAGGGTCCCATATTCTTGAGGAGGCGGGACTGGAGTAAGAGCAGCTGCTGGGAAGGGTTATCTGCGCCTGGACATTCATCAGAGCAGTCAAGTGGACACGCCCCCACAGACAGACAGACAGACAGACAGACCAAAGAAGGCACACCTTGCTGTTGCTTTTTCCTGTTTTAAGGAACAAGACATTTCAAGCTTTGCTGCTCATGTGATCTGCCACAGCTCTATCCTTGAAACAGAAATTAGCCAACCCTGCGGCACAAAATTATTCTATTGTAGAGCCATACAGTCGAACTAGACATGACTCCAGATTGCTAGGAATTATTTTGCGTTCTGCACATTCAGATAATAGGCTATCATATTATTGTGACATGTGGATCACCGGGTTCTAAAATGCCCCTTACGAAACCTGATGAGATAAACATTGTGTTTCAATACAGTGGATATTAAAATAGCAGCGAGCCTGGAGGATGCAGACGGCATTTAATAGCGAGTGGTCTGCGCCTGCGCTGCTTTTCCCGTCCCTTCTGTTGGCGTGTCTCCATTCCGTTCCCGCACACCACACTTTCCCGCTCACATTTCCTCAGCTCACAGACGTTCTTTTCACGGGATGATAGGGACTCCATCTTTCCTAGTTCGCGACAGGCCTTCTGGGTGGTGCGCTTGGGCCCCTTGGCAGTCGAGGCTCCAGACTGTGCGGCCAAGGTCCTGTGTATGAGGTCAGTTCCAAAGCAGGCTCAGCCAGGGCAGCCTTCCAGCCCATCTCACTAGCTCCTCCTTCTGCCACCTTGTTAACCATGGCCACACTGTTCCCGGGCCTCAGTCTTCTACCCCAGTAGTTATCTTTTCTGTTTGCTCTTGACCAGTACTCCTGAACTGGACCTTCACCTGTAACCTTTCTCCAAGGCGAGTTTGATAGTAAGCTCACCCTTTCCCCTCAGACAGTGAGGAGAGACCAGAGCCGCGGTGGACCGTCCTCAGAGACCCTCGGCTGCTCTCCCTCCCGCATTTCATGTCATTATGCTGCCCTCTGTGATAAGGATGTAGCTTCTCTTCTGTGATTCTGATTTCATATGGCAATCATGCTTTAAACTCATGGCCACATACCTCACGTGAAGCCTGGTCCTCTGTGCTGGAGGTGTAGGAGGAGCGCTACCCCAAGTCCTCGGAGGAGGAGAGGCCAGGGTGGAATGTGAGCTCTGCTGCTCACCTGTGTCTGTCCCCTCCCCTCCTGCTCCATGCTGTGAGGTCAAACCAGGGCACCCTGTGCCTTCTGACACAGCCCAGCAGCCCTCACAGGGGACACCGAATATATCCAACTGTTTGCAGAGTCTGGTCATTGTCATGGTCACTATCATCCTGAAAATGTCAGCACAACTCCAGGAGTACAGAAGGGACCCCGTACATAAACAGCAGAGTCAATACAAAGACAGCCACTGACTGCTTCTTTTGTCTCTGTTGCTCAAGACCAAGGCTTGTCCAAACAGTCAGAATGTATATGAAGTTATTTTTATTTATGTGCGTCAACCCTCTACCTCACCCTTATCCAGCCGCCCTTCATCCCCAGTGACAGGGAACATCTGCCTGCTCACCTGGGCACATCAGGGGGCAGGGATGGGGCAGGGAGATTAGCCAAGGCCCTCCACCCAGCCACCCCGCTTCCTCCAGCTGGACTCTGCCTTCTAAAGCGTCAGCCTCCCAGAATAGCTGGGTTCAAACGCCTGAACCTGTGGGTGATGTTCCTAATTCAAATCGTAGAACAGATACAACCACAGAAGTAGGAAGAGTTTGTGTGTTTAGGTGTCACAGAAGGGCAGGAGCGAAATCACTAGTTTACTGTCTAAGAGGGGGCACGGTAAAGAAACTGCCAACATGACCTTTCATGGCACAGTTAAGGGAAAGGGTTCTATTGTGCATAAGAGAGAAAATATCAAGAGGCATCTGGAAGAGTCCAGAGCAAAGAGAAAAGAAAGCAGACTGGGCATGGCTAGGACTGTATTCGAGAGAAAAGGGGAGACTAGCAGAAGAGAGCATAGTGGAGAAAGAGAGAGAGAGAGAGAGAGAGAGAGAGAGAGAGAGAGAAAGAGAGAAGTGGGGAGAACAGTGTAACATAAAGGGGCTGGCTTGTTGGGGTTTTCTGTCCTGCCTAGTACCCCACAACCGGCAAGCCCCAAAGATACAACACAGAGATTTCTCTAAGTTATAAAGCTGATTGACCCATTAGGTC